TCCATTGTCTTCATGAACACAAGTGCTCCTTGCACCAGGCTTGTCCCTCCCTTCTTTCTTCCTCCTTGTCTCTTTCTCTTCCTTGTTTCCTTCCATGGGGAAATGAGTTTCCATTCTGACCAAGATCATCTGTTTTAAGGACACTTTCTTTCCTGTTGCACTTAAGTCTTCTGAGTGCTCTTGTCTCCCCAGGGGATGGATATATGTGAGGTTACCAATGTTACCCACAGCTGGGGGCCTCCCCACTGGGTCCCGTTAGGAGGTGAGGACAGGGGAATGATGTGACCTTCGTGGGAGGATGCGAGGGCCTGGACTGTGAGTTCCCAATCTGTGCTCCCAGCAAGGCCTGTGGTTGGCGGTGAGGCTTGCTACCAGGGGCCCCATCTCCACCATAAAAAGCAAACAAACATAAAACAAGCAAAAAGGCGGTATTTATAAATGAACTTGTCTCTCACTGGAGTGGCTCTGGGCTTTTGGGCAGTAGGCGGGTAAGCCCGCACCCGCATGGTTATGTGCATGGCAGGAGCTCGGGCTCCTGAAACTGGTGGGAGGGTGGCTTGCCTGGGGGAGGTGCCCTGGCCGTGGACAAGGCGGAAGAGAGTCTGAAGGGAAGAAGACGACGAAGGAGGAGGGGAAGTGGGGAGGGGGTCTAGGAGGGGTGGAGGAGGGAGGCGCGGTGGGGGGGTGTTGGCTTCATGCTGTTACTAGTTTGATTTATCCCTAATGAGTTCTCAGCACATGGCTGCTCCCGGCTCACTCCAGGGGCCAGCCGGCCCGCCCCGACTCCGCAGCAACAGCCGCAGCTCGCTCAGAAAAGAGCCAATTTCCACACTGCACAGTCCGCTTCACTCGGGGGAAATCACATTTCCCCGGGAGAGCCGCAGGCAGCGCTTCCCTCCACAGCCTGGCCGGCTGCCACTGGGCACAGATGCCAAGGAGCTGGGTCCCCCACCTCCCCTTCTCTCCCCACCCAAAACCCCTCTTGCTGCCTTCCAGGAGGCCTGAGCTCCTCTTCCGTGGGCCTTAGCCCTTGCTGCTTCTCAAGGGTAGGAGAAAGGGTGAGGTCAGGGGAAGGAGAGACCGGTCTGCCCTGCCTGCCTTCTCCAGCTTCTTCCAGGAAGGAGAGCCAGGCCCTCTCCTTCTATGTGAAGGGCATGGAGATGTGAGGATGGGTTGGTGATGGTGGTATGTGCCTATGAGAGTGGGGACTTGCGGGGACAGGTGTCTGCCACCGAGGAGATAATGACCTCCAGCTTCCGTGTCCCAGTGGCCCCCAAAGAGTCATAGGAGCTGTAGACAATAATGAGAAGAGTAAGCAGCCAAGGAGACGGCCATGGGATGAGGGCCATGGGGAGAGGAGGAAGGGGAGGGGGACGTGGGGAGGGTGAAGGGGAGAGGGTGACAAGGAGAGAGAGCTGGAGAGAGGGAGGAGAGATGCTTCCCGGCATTTCCTGAGCACGGTCAGGGACTCCAAGCTCTCCCCAAACATTCCCTTGCTCTTTCCCTCATTCATAGCCCTGGAGACACAAATGTCTCTCAAATAGTAAGGAAAGGAATAATTGCTATAGACTCAGCAGAAAAGGAAAAAGACTAGAAAACGAAAAGAAATGAACAAAGGAAGGAGACAGAGTGAGAGAGAGGGAGTTTCCTCCATGAAAACCACAGTCACGGTGGCTGGGGTCACTTGGTGTTGAAGGTAGCACAGCAGCCTGGGCAGAGGAGCCACCAGCTCCTTTATGAAACATGGAAATGCTTTATGACCCTAAAGTTTAGAGAGGGGCTGCTAAAGGGCACCCTGAAGGGAGATTTAGGGCCAAGGATGGAGGGAGGTCTGAGATCAGTCCGGCACAGCTCTGCCTGGCCCCAGTGTTTCTTCTGCTGAGCTCTGGGCCTTGTGTCCAGTCACGCTTTGCAGAGAGGGGCAGCAGAAGTCACTGTGCCCTAACTAGCCAAATGACTTCTGCCCCTCCCTGCAAAGCAAAGGGTGTCTGAGGTCTCTCAGAAGCCTGGTCATGCCCAGATATCTGAGGCCTGACAATAGGATGCAGATCAGGCCTCGGATTAGGGGCCGGGCTGTGGTCTCTGCTCCTCTGCTGACTGACTGAATGATCTTGAAAAAGTCAAGTTATCTTTTGGTTTCTGATTCCCCAAGTGCAAAACAAAAGGGGACCAATGTTCAGAATCAGAGATGTAAATGGATGTGAATAGGCTTCTTATGGAGAAGGAAACTAAGCCTGAGTGGAGAGTTATTATCACTTCTGAGGCTGAGGCAGGGCAGCGCTGTTACGCTGTGGGTGCAGGAGCTGCCTGGGAGGGAGCTCAATCCTGCCCCTCCACCTCCCTCTCCCCTGATTGACCGGGCTGATGTTGATGCCCAGGCCCAGTAATGATGGCATTGAAGCCTGCAGTCCCCTTCCTCTGGTGCCCACTCCCAAAGGACAAGAAAGTGTGAATTATAGGTGCCTCATGTTGATGGATGGGAAAGTTGTATGTATTTTGGGTGATGGAAGTGGGAGGATGGTGAGGACAGGCGGCGGTGGGGACATCTTAGTAAGGGCCTCAGACTCTCTGTCTTTCTGTTTCTATTTGGAGGCCGCTCCTTCCATTTCCAGTTGATTTCACTACCTCCTCTTGCCTGAAGTTGTCCTCAGGGTTGAGTGTGTGTTTGGCACATACAGGGCAGAAGATATATGTTTCTTAGTTACAACTCATGGCAAGAATGTTGGGGAAGTGAGAGAAGGTGCAACAAGGGGAGGGGTTGGAATCGGCCTGGGGGCTGGCTTGTAGGTGAGGACTCCCAGTTCTGCTGACTCTACCGCTGGAACTTTGCGGTAGAGAGTACAGGGTCAGCAATTCTGCTCATCTGGTGGGACCCGGGCAGGGTTCCAGCTGTCCCCTCTCCTAGCAAGAAACCCACTGCCCTGCCCAGGGTGGTTGGTCCACATGAATTTCCTGCAAGCTCCTAGCCCCCTGGGCTGGCCTGGCCTGTGCTAGAACCTGAGGAAGAGGGGGAGTGAAGGTAATGGACCAGGGAGACGTTCAGGGCAAACTGCCTGGGAAGCTCAGGTGGTCTCTCTACATGAGCAGTAAAGGGAATATTCCAGGGGGAAGGGATGGGACCTTAGTGCCCTCAATGCCTCAGGAATGTTTTGGGTCCATGCCTCATCCCCAGTTCTCCTACCAATACACATATTACCCCCAGAGGGCCCCTGACTCCCTTGCACCATAAAGCAACCCCCCTTCACCTGCGACCACCTGCAGATGCCGGCCTCACTCCTCCAGGTGAAAGTGGCTCCTCAGCCACCCCACAAAGCCCCCTACGCATCCTCTCTGTCCTTGTCACACCCTTCTTCATTGTGTCACCCCATGTGCCAGCCTGATTCCTCCCAACACCACCCCAAATGCTGGGGCACTTTGAATTGTCTGTCTTTTACCCAATACATAAATGACCCTATTTTCTGAGCCCCAAAAGGGGAACCATGGTTTGACCATGGGCAGAATGTTGCATAGGTACTAGCCAAGGCCTACTGCATGGGGCCACATCCCACAGTGACCCAACACCCACTCCAAGCAGAGCATCCTGGCAAGTCCAGCTCACCTCAGGGAAAGAAGGGTGAGTTTTAAACCACAGTCACCTTAGCCAAAGCACAGCCCACGCTCCTTTGTTGGTTGTGAGTTGGAAAGTGTCTGCTTGGGGTACAGATTGTCACCAGAGGGGTTGTGGCTGTGAATGCAGGGGATCGCTGTACAGGCTCACTGGGATGCTGTACATCTCAAAGTGATTCTTGGGTAGGGAGCACTTGGATCCCAGAGGTTTGAGCTCAGGAAGACTCTCAGATATCATAGATTTGGAGTCTCACGGCTGAGGGAAGTCCTGCCATTGAAAAAACAGCCGCATCTCGGACCCCCTCCGAAGACATGGATTTTCTTCCTGGTCCCCCTCCCATGCCATCCTGGACAGCATCCCTAACCTCTCTCTGGGAGGCCTAAGAAGGTAAGATCCCTGCCTCCCAGCCTCTGTTCTCGCAGCCCTGGAGTCCCTGGGCCCCTTCCACCCCTGACTCAACCCCAGCGTTGTCTGTCCAGCTCTCCACATTCACCCGGGCATGCCAGCTGCAGGCCCCTGCCCCCTTGTTCCAGCTGGGTCCCACATGGAGAGGGTCCATGTGAACACCAGATAGCTCCCTGGAGCGCAGAGTCCAAGCTGTCACATTGCATTTCCCAAGTTTCCTGGAGGGGGCTGTCCTAAAGTCCTAAGTCTCTACAGCCTCGCTCACTGTGTCCGGGCCCCACCACACTGTACCTCTCCATTCAGTCAGGTCAAATCTTTAGCAAATCAAAAGAAATGAAATCCCCAGTGGCAACTCCAGAACCTCCCTTGGGTCTAGAACTCTTTGGCGTCCCTGATGACTCTGGGGTTTTGGGTAAAAGTGCTGGACTTAGAGTAAGAGGACTTGGTTGAATCTACTACTTCTCATCTTGGGCAAGTCATTTCACTTTTTTCAGAGCGTCAGTTTCCAGTTTCCTCAATATGTAAAATGAGGCTGTATGTAAAACAGGGCTAATTTCAACTTAACTCCTATGAAGCCCTCTATACTGTGCCTGGCACACAGGAGAGCCCCGTCTTCTCTCTCCCTTCAGAGCTGTTTATGCAGGCTCTAGTCATGGCTATTCCCGGATCCTTCACCAATCCACCCTGCTGATTCTCTGGTTTCTTGTTAATAACAACAGCTACTTTTTGTGGGGAGTCTATGATCGGCTTGACACTGTGCCCTCTTTGCATTTACTGAGTGTTGAAGAACTTGGGATGAGTGAGGTACCCCGCGTTCAACATCAGTTAAAGGCAGAGGGAGAAGGCCAAGCCAGGGCTCTGGGGCATTAGATGGTCCCCTCCAACCCACAGCCCCAAAGTGACTTTGTCGACTACTCAGCTCTGATGTTCTTGGGAGAAAGCCCGGCCCTGAGATGTCTCCTTTCCCAGCCAACCCCAAAGCCCAAGATGAAGAGCAATGGTTTATTGAGTCATGTGGCAATGGCAGGTTGTCTTTAAAAACGAAAGAAGCATCAAGGAGAGAAGCCCCACGTGGCAGAGAGACATTTCAGAGGCCAAAGTCTGAGGGTGGAAAGAAGGAAGCTTGACCCAAACAAAGTTTCATTTACAGTATATACAGTCAGGCCTTGGGGGCAGGAGCTGCTGGAGAGCAGAGCAGAAAGGGACCCTCTATTGCTGGCTTCAGGCGGTGCCTTGGGTCTCTTCAGTAGCTGGTGGGCGTGAGCTGCAGGAAGCCCTCTTGGCTTGGTAGGAGCTGTTGGGATGGGGAGCGGGTTCCCTGCGATTCTGCCTTGCTCTGCTCTGGGTGCAGTTGCACACCACACCTCACCTCGAAGCGGCCCAGGCCCTGTGGAATGTCTGTTTTAAGCTGCCTGGGGCTGGTGTGGCTAATGGTAGCTGCCAAGGGGATGCCCCACTGCTGGAGGACCTGGGGTGGGGCTGCACATTCACAGCAGCAGGCAAAAGAGGTCAGCTGACAGCCTGGTGGAATTTCTGAGGGACTCGCCCCAGCCCTCAGCCCATGCCCAAGAGGGAGGTGTAGAAAGAGCCAAGCAAGTGGAGTGGATAAGGAGGACAGCCAGAGCCTCAGTGTGGAGCAGGTGGGAGGCTGAGGGAGGTGACTCCCCGGGTGGCGGGTTAGGAGAGCCTCCACTCCAGGCTGTGACTTGTGGGCTGGAGGGAAGTGCTTACAGTCCATAACTGCTAGAGTTGTGTTAATAATGGAGCCACGGAGGTGCCCTGTGCACTCCTTGGGCCCAGGCAGGAGCCATTTGCCATCCCCTCAAGTTCCTCGGCTATTCCTTCTTCTCTCCTTTGGTGGGCACCGGCTGGGGCTACATTTCTTCTTCAATGTGTCTTTTTCAGCATGGCATGGTTCTCTTTCCCGGGGACTCCTGCCCCTCATTAAGGAGTCTTGGAGGACAGTTTGGCCTTCTCCAAGGTCATCCTGTCTTTCATGGTTCATTAAATTAACCATGCAGGGAGTGTGCCGCAATGCTGGATTTGTGGTTATTTTTCATGTAATAAATAAAGATTCCTTTGTGTGACTCTCTGGGGCCTGTCCCAGGCCGAGTCCTCCTGTTTCTCAGTCGCTCCCACTGTCCCCATGGCAACTACAGATGGTCAAAGGCCGTGGCAGTGGTGGGTGGCGCGCTTGGCCTCGATGTGGAGCTGTAATAATATGGGGAACCTGGACACATTAAAAAAAAATAACAACAACACTGCTGGTCAGAAAGGAAAATTGCACCATAGCCTTCCCTGCATCTGCTGACCTTTAAGACAACACAAGTTAATCATTCATTTTTCTGGTCTATCTGATCATCAAAGATTAACTCCTCTCCAGCCCTATTTCCTCCTTCTCTGGCCTCACCTTTGAGTTTCTGGCCAGAATGAGAACAGTGGCTTCTTGCCCCTTCCCCCTATGGCTGCTTTGACCTTCAACACCCTCGTTGCAGGGAGAGAGCAATAGAAAACAATTGCATGTGGAACCCCAAAGAATCAAGTGCACTGAGGGGTCATCAGGATCCTCTCTCGCCTTGCCCAAACAGTGCCAGGACAGAGAGTCTTCTCTCTTAAGATCCAGGAGGATTAGATGCAGAGGGGTCAAAGGGATCTGGGCTTGAGGGCCCATAAGGTGAGGCTCTGCACACCTGTAGGATGGGCCGCCTGGGGAGACTCAGTGGGAAGGTGCCTGAACCCTGACGTGTCTGAATGCTCTGGTCTTTTGTGGCTAAATTGAAAGGAAAGGTGGGTTGGAGGTGAACTCATCTGGCAAACACGGCCCAGGTCTGCCACCTTCCAAGTTATTTTTGGAATACAAGAAAGTAATTGGAAGAGAGGGGGTCTTGGGGTATGGATGGTTCCTAGCCTGCAGTGGTGCCTGTGAGGTCAGCCATCCTTGGGTCACTGATTCTGCCTGGCTCAGGTTTGCTCTGACACCCACAAGGTCACCATTCAGGGAGGCTCTAGTGAGATCACTCAAGTATCCCATTGGTGGAACTTTGCTTTGCTGAAAAGCTTCTCTTCCCAGTCCAGGACCCCAGGACAAGAGAGGGGTGAAGAGAAGCCTGTGAGCTCACTGAAGCTCAGTCTCTGGACCTCGACCCTGAATGCTATCTGCATCTCAAGCTAAATATGGGGAATGTGGTGGAACAAAGGATTTTTGTGTAAGGGTTTGGTGCTGACTGATGAGTATTTGTGAGCCAGTTAGACGGCTGATGGGGGCGACAGTCCCAGGAAGGAGGGCAGTTGCATTCTGGCAGGGTGACCTGCACCAGTGTCTGCACTGTGGGGCTGTAAGCTGCCCGAGAGGGAGGAGGTCCTCTCCTAGGCTTTTCTCAAGTCCTCCTCTGCCCTCCCCTTCAAGGCCTGAGCCCTGAATCTCACACAAAACAAAGATTTGAAAGACATGGCCTTGAGAAGCAGGAGGGAAACCAGTGTCTGGGAGTCTATGGACTTCTGGCCCTCTTTCCCCAAACAATGAGGTACACTGCCCCCCTGCTACCTTCTTCCATTACAAACAACACCATCTCCCAGACCCTCTGTATAATCTGAGGCCTCCCAGCTTTTGGGTGACTTTTGACCCACCCTTGCCACCCACCACACCATCCATCCTGCCCAGCAGAAGGCCTGGGCGGCCCCAGGCACTTACTCAGCAAGCTGGAGTTGGGGAAGCGCCAGGCCTCGCTGTAGGCGGAGTAGGGGGTGTGGCCATAGGCATTGCCAGAGTATTCACTTCCTGTTGGAGGCACACAGGAGAGAGGCCTGTGAGGTGAAGTGCACCAATGCAGGGCTGGGGCATGGGGAGGTCGGCAGGGCTGGCAGTGGGCAAGCTCAGGAACGGTGGGGGTACGGCTGGAGCCAGGAGCAGGGACAGTGGAGCTCAGAAGAGCCCTCTGTCAACCCTTTGGGAACCCATCAGCCTGGGTACCCTGGGGCAGTGTCCTTTTCCATAGGTATTGGAGGCACTGCCTTGACACACTACAGCCCTCCCAGGAGGCCCAGAAGGTAGATGTTATAAGTATCCCCATTTTACAGATGGAGAAACTGAGGCTCTGAGATCTGCAGAAGCTCCCAGAGCTGGAGGGTTTGGTGGAACTCCAAAACTGGGCTGTGACTCTAGGGCCCGGGGACTAACTGCTCCTTCTACTGCTGCCTGGACTTCCTGCAGAAGGGCTCTTCTGGGAGGGCCCCACAGCAAGGGTATGGGGCTAGAGGGAAAGAGGAAATCTGTCTATATGAACCTTTTAGCCTCCCTAGGTATGACTATGTTGAGTATGTGTGTGTACATGGGCGGTGAGAGGAGGTGTGAGGGCTAAGGATGGGAGAGGAGGGAGAACCCCGGAGGGCACCCACCTTCCGGGAAGCTGTGTCCTGAGACTTGGAGTAGTTTGTTGTCCCATCCCGAGTCTGCCACTTTAAGCAAACTCAGCACATAAATTTACACAAAGTAAATCAGATCATCTCCTCCTATTAATGGATTCTTGACTTTTCCAAAGGAATTCTTTATGGAAGAAATTACTTAAGAATTCCCTTGCATAACAAAAAAAAAAGTCAAGCTGACCACCACAGCTACTACTGGTGCTTGGTGTAGAGCTTAATGTTTGTAAGGCGCGGGCGCGGTGGCTCAAGCCTGTAATCCCAGCACTTTGGGAGGCCGAGGTGGGTGGATCACGAGGTCAAGAGATCGAGACCATCCTGGTCAACACGGTGAAACCCCGTCTCTACTAAAAATACAAAACATTAGCTGGGCATGGTGGCGCGTGCCTGTAATCCCAGCTACTCAGGAGGCTGAGGCAGGAGAATTGCCTGAACCCAGGAGGCGGAGGTTGCGGTGAGCCGAGATCGCGCCATTGCACTCCAGCCTGGGTAACAAGAGCGAAACTCCGTCTCAAAAAAAAAAAAAAAAGTTTGTAAGGCGCTTTCCCACACACTATGATCTTTTATTCTCACAGCTACTCTAATGAGGTACTCATGGATACTACCAATTTATAGAAAAGGAAACTGGAGTGCAGCATGATTAAGTAGTTTTCCTCAAATCACATTGTTGTTAAATTTCTGAGCAGAACTCAACCTTAGGGCTCTTGACGCTAAATTGCAGGTAATCCCTTTATTCATTTATGAGATGATTCCATTTACAAAGTTAGATTCCTGCCAACCCTGAGACCCAATGAATGTCTACCCAGCCTTTCAGAAACCCATATACGATTGTGAGCTACGTGTCTTCTGTGGTTCTGAGTCTCCTTCCCAGACTCTCTGGAGGGGTTGCTCGAAACTCCTTGACCCTAGAGCCGACCTGTCTAGAGTCAAATCCACACTTCCCATTTCCTGGTCATGTAAGCTTGGACAAGTCACTTAGCTTCGCTGAGTGAGTGACTTACAGGTGAGCCTTGGTTTCCTCATCTGTAAAGCGGGCCAAATAATTATCCCTATCTTATTTGGTTTAATGAGAACTAAATGAGAAAATATGTATTAAATGCTTAGCACCACCCTTCAAATATACACACAGCGCTCAATAAATGTAAGCTTCTATTATTTTCTCATTAAACAGGTGGGAAGATGAAGTTCAATGGAGGCTTAAATCAGTCATCCAACCTTAAATCAGTCATCTAGTCTTAAGGCCTGGATTACGGTTAATGGGAGCTGCTTTATTGCCAGACAAATAGGCATTTATACAGGAAGAAGAGAGAGATGAAGAGAAGGAGCCTGAAGCAGAGAAAGGCTTTGGATCCTTTCCTTGCCTAGGAAGTCAATGACAGGCTAAGGACACAGTAAGGAAGTTTCTTAGGGGCAGAGACTAAGTCTAATGTAGATCAAGCAAAAAATACGGGTAAAAGAAGGAAGGGAATAAAGAAGGAAAAAAGCAAAGAAAAAAACTTAATAAATAATCTAATCTAAACATCTATTTAACAGATGAAAAACTAAGAAACAACTTAATCTAAACATCTATTTAGCAGATAACACATCTGTTACTTAGAGAAGGAAAGACATTTGCCCAAGACCATGTGTTCAGTGAAAGCCTGAACTAGAACCCTGGCCCCGTCCTTCCACACTGGTGCTCTCTTGCATCTCACAGCGCAAACTGCCCCCTGTTTAGTCCAGGTCTCCCTGGTTTCACCCAATTCTCTATTGGCCGCATAGCAAGGGCCCTCGAACCTTGGCGAACCCCTACCCCATGGCGAACACAGCAAGCTCTAAAGGACAAGGGAGAGAGGTGGAAAACATGATGTGTTTACCTTCTCATTTTGTCATTCACTCATGCATTCACTCACTCACCCACTTATTTATGTATTTAACTACCATTTACCGAGCACCTCAGTCACATGGAACCTGGGGCAGGGGATGGGGCTCAGTAGGTAGTGTACACCTGGGTGTGGCATCTTCCCGTCACCGGATGTGCCTACCTGCTTGCAGTTACAGCAGATGAAACATCTCTGCCCCCGATGAAAGGCCAACCCTGCCTCTGTGTTCTGCATCAAGGATTTGGTCCCTTCAACAATCTCATTTTCTTTTTCATCAGTCTCTCCCTTCACCCTGCAGACATGCTCTGCTATCTTCTATCTTTAAAAATCCCCTTCCTACCCCACATTCCTCTCTAGCTACCAGTGCCTTTCTCTGTCCTGATTTCTGCCTTCACCTTCTTATCCCTTCCCACACGCTAGCTCTGATCCCTTCAAATCCCCACAGTCTCTAATTCCATCATTCCAATGGTCACTTCTGTATCCACAATTCCCTTAACTTTTTAGCTCATCCCTCTCTCCATGCCTTTGGGCTTGTGATGCCCAGTCTTCTGTTTGTTTTGTAACTCAGTTTTCTTTCCTACTCATTCTCCTTGCCATTCCTTCTCTGTTAAAGCTCTAAATCATTTCAAAGAACCCCAGGCTTGGTTTCTAGCAGTCTTGTCTAATCCGTTGGCATTAAATGACAGCTTTGTGCAATGGCTGAAGTTTATACTCTGGTCAGGACTCTTTGCTGGCTTCAGACATACATGATGTGCCTACTAACTTACTAAAACTGGATATTTAGTAGGCATCTCAATCCTAACATGGCCCAAAAAACTCTTGATTTCCACTTGCCCTCTACTACATAACTTCCCCTCCTGGTCTCCCACATATATACTTGCCACCACCATCCATGCCCAAACCTACAGGTGATCCTTGTTTCCTCCATTTCCTTATCCTGACAGCCAATCCACCAGCAAGGCTTGCTGGCTTTTCATCCAAAATATATTTCCAGGGTCTCTTTTTTCCTCCTCCACTGCCAATTTCCTAGCTCAAACCACTGTCATTTCTTGCAAGAACTATTGCAACTGTCCCCTAACTGGTCTTTGTGCTTTCTCTCTTGACTATCTACAGTTCATTTCCCCAGAGATCAGAGTGGCCTCTTCAAACTTGACCCAGCCATTACCAATTATGTGCTACCTGCTAAGCTAGTTCCTGCCTTAGGCCCTTTGCTCTTGCTGTTCCTTCGGGCCAGGGATGGTCTGTCCCAGTTTACCACTTGGCTGGTCATTTTGAACACCTTCTCAGAGAGGCCTGCCCTGACAACCCAATCTAAAGTAGTTATCTCCTTACCCTGTGTATCTTTATTACATCATCCCATTTGATTGTCTTCACAGACAATAAATTATTATGTTTATACATTCAATGACTTATTTACTGTCCATTTCTCTTCACCATTAGGTTGTAAGCTCCAAGAATAAAGGAATCTGACTTATTCATGTCTGTATCCCAAGCATCCCATATAATAGACCTTCAATCAGTATTTGTTAAGAGAAAAAAGTGGCGAATGGATGGAAGGATGCAAGGATGAATGAAAGCGTGAATGATTGAAGGACCGATGATGAAAGGATGGACGGGTGAAAAGATGGATGGAAAGATGGATAGATAAAAGGATGTATAGAAAGATGGATAGATTAATGGAAGAATAGATTGAAAGTGGGATGAAAAGATGGATGTATGAGAGGATGGATGGGTGGAAGGATGGATGATGAAAGCATTGATGAATAGATTGATTAAAGGATAGTTATATGAAAAGATGAATGGATAAATGAATATGGATGGAAAATAAAAGGATTGATGGAAAGATGGATGGATGGAAAGAGATGATAGATAACTGGAAAGACGGATGAATTAAAAGATGGATGGAGGAGCCAGGCGCAGCGGCTCATGCCTGTAATCCCAGTACTTTAGGAAGCTGAGGTGGGCGGATTGCCTGAGGTCAGGAGTTCGAGACCAACCTGGCTAACATGGTGAAACCCCATCTCTACTAAAAATACAAAATTTAGCCAGGCATGGTGGCAGGTGTCTGTAGTCTCAGCTACTCAGGAGGAGGCTAAGACAGGAGAATTGCTTGAATCCAGGAGGTGGAGGTTGCAGTGAGCTGAGATTGCACCACTACACTCCAGCCTGGGTGACACAGCAAGACTCCATCTCCGAAAAAAAAAAAAAAGATGGATGGAGAGTCAGAAGGATGGGTGGGTGAAAGGTGGAAGGTGGAGATGGAGGGATGGATGATAAAAGATGGAAGGATAGATGGGAATGGGAAAATGCATGGATGTGTAGAAAAATGTATGGGAAGATGAAAGAGTGGAAAGGAAGACAGATGACAGGATGGATCCAGATATCTGGAGCTGCTGGTTCTTCTCTAGAACTGGTTGAAAATCATTGACTGTGTTAATGGAGCCAGAACAAAAAATAAGATAGATAAGATAAGATAAGATAAGATAAGATAAGATAAGATAAGATAAAAGAGAAACAGAAGGCAAACAGACTAGGGAAATCTGTCCTAGCCCTTTTCCTGTGCTGCTGTCTTGAGGCTTGTGTCTTTATTTCTGGTATGGTAGGAGCAGTATGGTATAGTGGAAAGAGTCTTAGACTTGAAATTGAAAGAACTGTGTTTGCATAATTCAACCACTTAGTATGACTATGACCCTGAGCACACCACTTTGCTTTTGTTTCAGTTTCCTTATCCATAAAACTGGGATAGTATCAGCCTCTCAGTCTCACGGTCAGGGTAAAATTAGAAATAAAGTTATATGTATTTGAATGGCCAGACATGCAGAAGTGCAGAACAAGCAATCACTTCTTCCTTCCACAACAGATTGTTGAATGTCTTTGGCATGCCTTGCTTTGAATATTTATCATGTACCTAACATGCATGCGATAGATGCTCAATGAAAGTTTATTCACTTTAATTGCAGGAATCCCCATTCAGTCAACTGGGAGATTGCAGGCAGTGGTAAGAGATGGACATATAATTTTTCCACAAAAAATTCTTTAAGAAATCATTTGTGCAGTGCTGTTCCTAGGAACCAAGTGATTCATTTAAATAGTACTGTATTTTCTAAAAACTGATTTCATGAACTTACTGGAAGCCCAACCACAGTGTAGGGCAAGGTCCCTCCTTTGTGGATTTCACTTGCAGTCAATGTCCTAGCTGTGCTATGTTTTTCTTTTTCACAGCATTCACTCAGGATTCTTTCTGGAAACAACCTGGGGGACTTTGATGAGAGGCCCACGCTTTCCAGCTTCCTCACAGGTCAGACTCTGGGCCCCAGGAACCCCTTGCCCTGGGCCTGCCCTCAGGGAATGATTCAAAATTAAGAAAAAAGCCTTGTGCTTTATGTTTCTTCCTCCTCCTCTAAGCAGGCGGCAGGGGAAGGTGGAGGGGTTGGAATGGGAATCAGGGGAGCCGACTGGAGCCTGGGATTTTGATTGAGAGGCCCCATTATCCACACTCTTAAAAAAATAACCGAATCTTTTCCTTTTTTATCTTGACCAATCTCATTTCACGCTCCAGAAGAGGAAGGGAGGGAGGGAGGGAGTCCGGGGCCAGGAGGGAGAGAGGAGTCAGTATTCTGTATTTTCAACGCTGCATTAAGCACATCGCCACGGTAACCAGGCAGCAACAAGTGCCAGCTCAGCAGGTTCCCAGGGAGCACAGAGCCTTTTTCCCTCCCTCCCTCTCTCCCTCCCTTCCCTCTGCCCAGGAGATCCCAGCCCACCTGCCTCTGCATAGGGTGCTCAGAGTGGGTGGCTGGCAAAGATTAACTCCTTCCAGGGAGGAAGGGAAGCAGGCCTGGGTAAATATGCCAAGTCTCTGGGGTCAGAGCTAGAGAGGCTGGCCTAGGACTGGCATGGGGGTCACAGATGCCTTGAGTTCAGAGCTCTTTCCAGAAACTCCAGGTCCCAGGCCTTTCTGACCAGTGAAAATGGCTCTATTATGCTTCCTCCATCCCAAAGTCTTCCCTATATGGCTCCTAAAAATTTGAGACTTGCTCAGAGAAACTCCCATTATCTTCATTTGTCCAGAATTGTTAACTTGAATCATCATTGGATGATGAGTGGCAGACAAAGAAACCCAAATGACTGGCAGGCAGGTTCCAGGACAGTCCAAATGAGTATGGAATGCTACTCCAGGCTCATCTCATTGTCTATGGAACTCTGAGAGTACCTAGAACCCAGGTCCTATCCATGCAGGGTTGAGTGAGAGTGATGTGAAGCATATATTTCATCATTATCCTCATCAATACCCTTCAGATTCAGATTTTACAGAAGCAGAAAACTGGGATTCATCAGACTTAAATCACTGGGAGACCAGCTCTGTTTGACGGCAGGGCTCATCTTCCACTCAGTGTTTTGGGGCCCTTAGAGCGTTCTACCTTTATGCCCACTGATTTACTGGAAGAAGTGGTGGAGCTTGGATTTGAACATACGTCTGTCTCAGCCCCTCCCTTTTCATCATGGAGGGTAATGTGGCAGACCTGAGAAGACGGAGGCCGAGCTGGGGCAGGTTAAATAGGGAGTCAAGACTGCACTGGGACATTGTCTCCAGGCATTTACAAGAAGACGCCTCCTTCAGTCCATCCTTCAATGCCCTTCGGGAAGTCTATGAATAGGGGACAGTATGCCTCTTGTCCCTCGTGTCCCACCTTGCTCCAACACTTCCTATTTGCAATACTCCCCCTCCTGCCGGCCCTCTCCTTACCTGCCACCATGCCTGCGATGGCAGAGGAGGCATAGCTGCCCTGTCCGCTTGTGGGGATGTGGGGTGGGTATCCGGGCAGCGTGGGCCCCACCATCTCTCGCCCTGGAAAAGTACAGTGAAGAGTCATCAGTTGAACCATGGGGGCTCTTATATGTATCATCTCACTCTCCTGAGGCTCTCCTCCTCCATGCCATTCACACCCTCTCCACAGCCATTCCCCAAATCCACTTCCTCTTGCCCCCCTCCTCCTCTGAGCCCAAGTTCTTGTTACCTCTGTCTGGTCTTCTGCAGGACAGAGGCTCCACCATGCAGGGAGCACTCACTACTGCAGTCTCACATTGTTTCCTGTTCTCCATTGGTTTTATTTAAGTGATTGTTATCTCATGAACCCACAAGAATGTCCTGGTATTGGAGGCTGAGGCTATGTCATCTGTTCTTTGTTATCCCCCACAGCAGCCAGCAGAGCAGTGGGTACAGCTGGCCTCTGTAAGTACATTTGAGGTCCCTTGACTTAGAGCTCATCCCTTTTATCCTGGCTCTGAGGAGAACTAAGAACAAGACTCTATGAAAGCATGGCATGTATGTGGCGCACTGACCCATCACTATTTTGGGGAGGACCTGTGACAGACATTACTGTCACATAATCAACCACTATAACATTTCCCATTGAGAAGAGGGGGCCTTCCAAGTAGATGCAATCTGTCAGAGTTGTAAGGGACAGGAAACTGATTGGCTAACCCCGATTTAGAAGGAAATGTGGCTGAGATATTTAGCTTTTACATCACCATGAGCCACATATCTGTCAATTCTATTTCGAAAAGAACCATTTTTGGCAAAACAAACACCAATCTCTCTGTTTATCTATAGCTTGTGGGTCACACTCCCACCTTGGTGACACCAAGTCAGCTCTATAAAGACCTCATTTCCTGGCTCTGCTTCTCCTCTACATCGAGAAATCACTTTCCCATTTTGGAGACCCCAGCTGACCTGGTGACCATCTCCCCCATCTACCATACATAACAATAAACATAAACATAACCCCTTGCCCCTGCCCCTCTTCTGTTGCTCCTGTGTCCTGCAGGCCCCAACCAGACTCTCCTTCACCCCAAGATTCTTGGCAAGGTGACAATACATCCTGGTTTGCCAAGGTGTACCCAGGTGATGACCACTATCCCAGCATATTTATTAATAATGCCCATTTCACTTTCAAAATGTTCCAGTTGGGTTAATGAATTGTGTGCTCATCCTAGTTCTTGGTGATGTTTACAGAGTTTCTCAGTCTCAGTGATATTGGCATGTTAGGCTGCACAATTCCTCACTGTAGGAGGCTGTCCTGTGCACTGTAGGATGTTTAGCAGCATTTCTGGCCTCCATTCAGTAGATACCAGCAGCAGTTTTCACCCAGGGTGACAACAAAAATGTCTCCAGACATTGCCATATGTCCCCAACAGGAGGTAGTAGGGGCAAAATTGCTCCTGGCTAAGAACCATTGTGTTGGGCTATGACTGTTTTCCCCAAATGCCTTCTACCTCTTCCATTCTGGGGGCTACTTTTTCCTCCCAGCACTTATGTGAGACCCTGTTAACCAACTTACCAAATTCATCTCTTCTATGGCACTGCTTGTTCAACTTTCTGCCTATCAGACCCCCCCCAGGTCCTTCATACCTCAGCCCCTTCAAGGGGTGCCTGGTCATGACAGAAGAGAAGGCCCCATGACATCCTGTAAGTAGCTAATTCTACAGTGATTACCTCCTCCTTATCTCTCTTTCTGAGGATTCCCCAATGTTCATTCACCAAATACCTATTGAGTAAGTACTACATTCTAGGCACTTTTCTAAGCACTTGGGTATATGGCAGAAAGCCAGAATGCTAAATTAGCAAGGCCAGGCACCAAATCAAGAAGGGACATAGGCTGGGATAGGCATTTGGAGCCAAAGCCCAAGGGGTCAATGAGCAAGACCAGGCACACTTCCTCTAGAGGGTAGGGCCTGGGAATCAGAGGGCCTGGGTTTCTTATACTGCTTCTGTGGCTAGTTTTCTGAGTGCCCTTAGATAAGCCTCATGTGTGCCCCAAGACTCAGTTTCTTCATATGCAAAATGGGAAAAAATAATATAGGCTTAGGCACCTTATTATAATTTCTATGAGGTTATCGGTAGAATTCAGAGCCAGGGTTTCATGCTACAGGTGGACATGGATTAGTGCAATGGACATATTGTAGAAATGGTTATATGCCAATGAACTCCTATAGAATAAAGAGCCATCAGTGTTTATTGTTTAAAACTGTGCAAACGTTTTGGCAAGCCTGAACACCACCTTCTAATTTGTTTGACTATTCCTGCAGTGTCCAGCTGTGCTTGGCGTGGGACCAAATGGGGTGAAACTCACTAGAATTCTACAGGGGGGTCTCAGTTCACCTGACACAAGGCCATCAAGGGAACAAATAAAGGACTGGAAACACAGGAGGGGGAAAGAGAATTTTAAGATATTTAGATGTAGACGGAGAAATATACAGAAGCTATACTGAGACGAAATCTGAGCTTTCTGTGAAGAATACAACACAATAGATCCTTAAACTCAGCTCCCTTGGCTCTCAGATGAAGCACTGGCTAGGCGAGAGGGTAAGAATGATAGGAAGTCTGTGAGAGCAGGAGCACATGGCGTGGATAGGTGGTGAAGGGAGAGCGATGGAAGAGGGTGGTGGCTGATTCAGGCCTGCTTCCTTCTTTTCTCTTCCCTCCCTACCTACTTCCTCCTCTGTGAGAGAGAAAGATAAAGGGAACTCTAGATCCAGGCCGGACCCTGGATGAAGGACAGCACTTAATTCTCTGAAACACATCTTGCTGCCTGTCACTTAAGGAACTAGTTTAGATTTCAGCGTGTAAACTGGATTCAGCTGACTACTTGATTGACCGGTAGGGGCTTCCTGGCACCTGGTATGGAGAAGGATTCTGAGGCACCGGTGTCTGCCATGATGGGGGGTTGGGGGGGACAGTGGGAGGTGGTCTTGGCTCCAGGTGACCTGTTTGCTGGTGCTGGCCTTGTGCCCTGCAGGGTGCTTCTGGCCTGGCAGCTGTGGCCCTGCACTCCCCTCCCCCGACCTCATCCTGTCCCCTCCCTTTCCACTACCTGAGCCTAGCAGAGTAGCAGGCAGAGTTCCAGTGTGCATACTTCCTTACAACACAGCTGAATGTGGTCCAAGGTGCCCCCATGAGGCTCCACCGCATGAGAACTAGCCCCCACGTTGCTCTCACAAATGGAATTCATCAGTCTTACTCCTCTGTATTCTAAGATTTTAATCTTCATCTCCCCTCAGTCACCTATTGTCTTCCCAATGGTATAGAGGTTTCTGAATCAAACATTAGAACAGACGCCTAAGGCTTCCTCCCACGAAAGCTGGTCTTCCTGAAAAGACTGGTAAGACTTTCTTCAGGACGGCTGTCACCCAGACTGTGGGACCATAAACTCTCCCAACAGCCCTGCAAAACTCTTTGCTCCAATTGCTTAAATGCATAGTTTCTTCCAAAAAGCCAAGAGCCTTGCAAGCCTTCTTAGAAACAAAACCACAGAAGCCATGACGTGGAAACATTCCATCATGGCCTAACCGTGCCCTCTTATCTACTTCTCTGTTTTTAAGACTCTTCATCATAAAATATCCCTACTGTGAATTCCATCTCCTCTACACCCAGGTATCCTTCCAATGTGGTCCTATTTTTAAGAAGTGGACATAAAACACAGGCCTATGTTGACTGCTTATGGAGTGGAGTTCTCTAAGAAAACGCTAGCTGCCCCCACCCCTTGAAATATTGGTAAATATTCTAAGTATTGGTAGAGACCAGGATCAGAAAGCTATTGCCTGGAGGAATTCAGAGGGTAGAGGTGATTTCAGACTATTTTATTCACCCTCTTTGAAGTCTGCCCTCCATATAACCCCTTTTCAATTCCTTATCTTGTTCTGATAGCAAGGAGAATTTATGGCAACCCAGAAATCTCTTTGGCAGTACTAAATATAATTTTGTACAAAAGGATGGAGGAGGGGAATGGACTCTTTGATGATAAAACCTAACTTAGAGCTTTCCTTTGAGTTGAGCTGGAGTCAGTCCCAGAGCAGCTGGGACCAGGATGGCCTCGACATTGCTGTCTTGGCCAGTGTGTTGGGACTCCAGACTGGGGTTTCCAAAGGGAACCGGCAGCAATGTTAGTGGCAATCTTGCTATTCCCCAAACGCTGCTACTTCCTCTTTCTTGGCTGACTGGGGACAAGCTGAGACTCAGGAGGATAGTCACTCTGGAAATCACAGTGTCAGAGCCACGGGGCCGAAAGAAGTGGCTCAGAGAGAAACCGTGAAGCAGGTAAAGGAGTCGCAGGAGATGGCAGCGAGGGTCCTTGGGAGTCACTCAGAGGGCGTGGAAGGTTCACGCAGGTTAAAGTTGAGCTGATTATGGGACGAAATCTCACTGGGTCCTCCCTCCTCTCCCCTGGTCTGCAGTGTTACCTAGGAATATTGTGGCCTCTGCTTGCCTGCCTTCCTTCCTTCCTTTCTCCCTCCCTCCCTTCCTCCCTCCCTCCCTCCCTTTCTCCCTTTCTCTTTTTCTTTCCTTTTCTTTTTTTCTTTCTTTTGAGATGGAGTTTCGCTCTCGTTGCCCAAGCTAGAGTGCAATGGAGGAATCTTGGCTCACCGCAACCTCCATCTCCTGGGTTCAAGCAATTCTCCGGCCTCCGCCTCCCGAGTACCTGGGATTACAGGCATGCGCCACCAAGCCCAGCTAATTTTGTATTTTTAGTAGACACGAGGTTTCTTCATGTTGGTCAGGCTGGTCTTGAACTCCTGACCTCAAATGATTCACCCGACTTGGCCTCCAAAAGTGCTGGGATTACCTCCTTCTCTTTCTTTCAAATTCACCTCTTCTTCCCTTGGGTAGGTCTTCAGCCTCCTCTGCTCTTGGAACCATTCCCTTCCTAACCTTCTCCCACCCCGTCATGTCCTCCCAGTCCTCTCACCATGGCTGAGCCACATGTTAGATATTGAGGTCCAGTCTTTACCAGAGGCCTCAGGTGGACAGTCTGTAAGCAGCTCCAGGACAACACTCTGAGCTCAGCATGGGCACCAGCCATCCCCCCGCTTGTGCCTGATCCACTTTCTGACTTGCTTCCTACTCTTGGCCATCTGCCTGGATCCCAGTTCCTACAAGCCTAGCACTCCTCACTCTTCAGAGCCACTGCCTCTGTGTTGAATTGTCAACCCTTGGGCTAGGGGGCTCTGTAACCAGCCAGCAACCTTCGAAGTGCTCACACCTGCACTTCAGCATCATCTGGGCCTGGGTTGAGGGCCACCTGCCTGACGGACATGCCGGTGCTGCAGATTTGGCTGCCGGCTTCCTGCTGCCTCCATGACCACCAGGTGTCTGCTGCCAGCGGCTTTGTCCCATGGATTGGGTGACCTCTCAGTCCTGCAGTTGGCCTGGAGAGTGGGTATGGCTACTACATTAACAGCTGACAGTAGTTGGAAGCATCACCTCTGACTGCATGTTGACAGGGGATGCTTATAGCTCTAACAGGATGACAGGGAGGGGACAAAGTGTGAGGGCTTTGGGAGCAGGAAGTTTGCCCTGGGCTGTTCCAATTACACTTAGACAACAGCCTACGTCTGCACTCTGATGCTTCTATCCGCTGCCTTCCAGCCGCCCTACATCCTTCCCTCTCCTTCAGCTGGTCCTGCCAAGCCTCTCTGTGGCTTGCACAGCAACTGCTCCCCATCATCATGAGTACCACCACACCCTCACCCCTTGCCTGCTCCACAACCATCCCCAGCCTTGGCCCACCATTCTCAGGAGATATTCAGGCTTGTGTATCTCCCTGTAACTGATGTGAGCCTCTTCTGCTCAGCCCCTCCCCTCCCTTCCCCTCCCCTCTCCTCCCCTCCCCTTCCCTTCCCTCCCCTCCCCTCCCCTCCCTTCTTTTTCCCTTCCCTCCCCCATTCCCATTTTCTCTGGCTGACATAATTTTACTCAGCTCACAGATTTTTCTCCTCTAATCACTTTGGTCAAAACAAATGACCCATCTCTGCTGACTTCACCCTCTTGAATTCCTGAACTCTGCGTCAACATTTTCTTCCTTGCTTTAGACCCTTAAACACCATCTCTCTGCTCGCATACTAGGTGTCCATCTCTTCTAAGAAAACTCCTCACATTAGGTGCAGGGATGCACAGAGGAAAAAAAAGAAAAAAACAACCCAGGTGCCAGACAGACAGAAAATGTAGAGCCAGTTATAAAAAAAGGGTCCATGGACTTGTATCACATGATCTTGTGGTTTCTCTGGGCTGGTAGAGGTCTTGCTCTTCTGGGGCAGTGGTTTTCAAGTTCAAAGGCCTTCTACGGGCAGGGGCCCCCTTCTAAAAGAGAGTTCTTCAGGGGTCTGGTGAGGATACATGGCTTCTGTAAAAGGCTTCATTTCAAGAGATCATTGAGAGGCCCAGGTTTGAAACCACTGGTCCCAGGTATACTGTCTGACTCTGGGCTGCCTCTGTGACACGTCTCCTACACCCACCCCTACACTGGTCTCTGCTGTAGCATCTCAAGGTCATTGGGGTAGGGGGGTGTGGGAGGCATTTACTCTGTCACTAAATAACCACACTCCTTGGAGACAATGGCAATATTAAAGAGATTCCTCCAAAGCTGAACTGAGAGCTAGCCAGCTTCCTCCCTTGGTCCTGGGCCCCCACTGGGCCCACAATTAAAATAGTTCTATCCCTGTGGAAGCCCTTGAGGTATCTGAAGACCGCACGGGTCTCTACTCCCCACTTTCACTGCATCTCAGGCCCTCTCTAGCCCAAGCCAAGCACTTGACTCTCAGCCATTCCTCAGGCCCTGGCTGGATGGGCAAAGGTCCTTCTGCCAGGGGGGTCCCAGCTCCCCTTGAGGTCTGACTTATGGAGTGCAGGCCCAGGCCTCGGCCAGCTGCACATGGTGCTTCCACCCAGAAACCTTGGCAGGGACCTTTTCCTCCCTGGGCCGGTTTCCTCATCAGCATAAGCGGTTTGCTCTAGAGACTCCCTCAGGTGCTTCCAGCTTTATTTATTTGTATGTTTTTATTTTTTGAGATGGAGTCTTGCTCTGTTACCTAGGCTGGAGTGCAATGGTGTGACCCTGGCACATCACAACCTTTGCTTCCTGGGTCAAGCAATTTTCCTGCCTCAGCCTCCCCCGTAGCTGGTATTACAGGTGCCTGCAACCACACCCTGCTAACTTTTTGTATTTTAGTAGAGACGGGGTTTCACCGTCTTGGCCAGGCTGGTCTTGAACTCTTGACCTCGTGATTCACCTGCCTCAGCCTCCCAAAGTGCTGGGATTACAGGTATGAGCCCCCACACCCAGCCGGTGCTTCCAGCTTTAAATATTTTGAGGCAGTTGAGGTTCCTGATGGGAAGTCTGCCACCCCTCCACTCTCAAGTTGCAGAATCACTGAATTGATCGTATTTAACAGATGTCTGACTGTCATCCCGGTGACACTGTTAAGCTAGATATGAAGATAGCTACGTCACAGAAACACAGCTGGGTCTGACCCTTGGCCTTTTTAGAAATTTGATCCAGAAACTGGCTCCAAGGCCAAAGCCTTTTTCCCTCCAAAATGTTCATTTTTCCTTCTATTTATTTATGTGTTTACCAAGACCAAGTGTCCCTGTGTTACAGCACCTGGCTCCCGGCCTTAGGGTCCCTGCTCTTCCGTGGGGTTTTGGGGTGGTGTATCCCACTCCCTGGCACTCCCAGAGCATCCGCCCCTTCCGAGCGTGTCTTCGCCGTCACGGAGAACCTCACGTTGGCATCTCCAAAAGTGGCGGAGGAATTAGGGAATAGGGTGGTGGTGGACGTGATTGGGGCCAGAGAGGGGGCTGGCGGTCGGCCCTGAGTACCCCCCCCCCAACCCACCGCAATGCCTGCATGGCCCCGGGACCTCCCTGTCGTACCTGAGAGGAGGGCCTGGCCCGTGAACTGCCCGTACACGGAGGCAGCATGGGGAAAGGCATTGAAGGGCGGGACCGAGGCACCGGCTGGGACCCCGGAGCCGACTTGCTGCAGATCCAAAAAGGCGGAGCTAGATAAAGAGGAAGGGGTGGAGCTAGAACTGGACACCTCGGGGGTTTCCTGCTTTATGGCGAAGGGTGAATGAGGATCTGCCGGAGGGAGGGAGACAACAAGGAGAGAGGGGTGTGAGATGACGGGGCGGGAACATGCACAAACCAAGCCATGAGATGTGGAGGGTGCGGGCGGGGCGCGGGGCAGGCAGGCCCGGCTGCTGTCAGGGTCTGGGCTGGGGAGCCGGGGCCCACGAGGTGTGGTGGGGGGGGCGGGGAAGAGAGAAGCTCGACCTCCCTGCTGTGCTTCTGCTGTGAAATGGAGAGACTGGGAAGGAGTGTGTGTGCCCGCCTTTCCCGCAGGAGGGAGTGTGGAGACCCAGGAGCGGCCTAGGGCTGGCCCAGCCAGCACAGCCCACCTCTCCTCTCCAGGCCAGGCCCCACATGCCTTGCGCCTGCCAGCCAGCCAAGCTCTACCGTCCCCCGCCCTCCACCTGGCCAGGGAGACTCCGGGCGTCATACCTGCCACCACGGGGTAGGTCTGGTGAGTCGAGAGGTTGCGCCCCAAGGGCGTGTTGGAAGGGGTCAGGGTGGCCTTCCCGTCGTCCAGGGTGCTGTTGAGCAAGGGCAGTGGGTAGAGGCCCTGGGGAGCAAAGAGAAGTCAGCGCACAGAGATGATGCAGGCTGGCCTTCCTGCAGACCCTCAGCCTGTCTTAGCACTTGACCACCTTCATCTCTCCAGGAGATTTCCTCGTCATTCCCTTCTTCCTTTACATTATCAACTCCACTCAGCACATTTCGTTTGTCCTCATTGTCCTCCCGCATCCCTGGGCTTCAAGGCCAGCTGGTGGCATGGGTGCCCAGGCGTGGGATAGAGGGTCTCTGCCAGAGGATCACACTCTGGCCGGATGGCTGGTCTCCTTCCTTGTTCACCACACTGTTGAGACCCACAGAGTACAGGACGGTGCCAAGGACCCGAGCAGTCTCTGACTGCACTGTTCAGGGTGCTCCCATCTGTTAATTTAGTCTTCCCCAGATAGGGAACCCAGGCACAGAGGTTTAAGAAACGTGTCCCACTTCCATATGGGGCAAAGACAGGAGTCAGACTCAAGGGATCTGAATGCCTCTCCTCTAAACCACTGTCCTAAACTGGGTGACATAAGGACCACCTCTTATAATTGCAAAGAGTTTTCATCAGAGCTTTGCCTCTGTTGTCCTGGTGGAGTCCCCCCGCAGCCCTGTGACATGGGCGAGTAATACTATGTCTGTTTTTTATATGTGGAGCCTAGAGCTCAGAGAGGTACATGGCCCAGTTTTGTGCAATGAACTGGGACTAAACCCAGGATTTTGGCTGTGGACCCAGGTGCTTTACCCACCATGTGGATTTCTTCTTTTCTCTCTCCACATCCAAACAAATAGAAGTTCAGCTTGAAAATGATATTTAGAGTTGTTTTTGTTGGAAACACTCTTTATCAAGCACCTAAGACCTCATTTTAGATGCCTTCCCTTGCCAGGAGCACAGCTATGGCCTTAGGTACTCCTTCCAAAAAGAACTTGTTTAACTAAAGGCAAATGTACCTCATCCTCACCATGGCCTCCTCCTAGGGAGATAGCACAGAAAAAAGAACACACCCATTTTCCACATACCATCATGCACGTCACATACCCGCTACGTGAGATGTGCAAAGCTGAAATCAGGGAATGCTCAGTGGTTACATAACAGTGCCACCAAAAGCAATTGTTTTCAGTGATTTCCATGGAGCTGGGTTCTGCAAAGATCCACAGCATTTTCCGGTTGCACGCTGGGCACTTTTGGAAGCTACAATCAATTCTGGAGGCCACCAGGGCACCATTAGCACATAGCAGCAATTACTGACTAAATGGTGTTCTGGTTCCATGCCTTCCGAGGGGGCCCACTTAGAGGCAGGGTGGAGTTGCTTAGGGCCTTGCTTTTTTTTTTTTTTGAGACAAAGTTTCACTCTTGTTGCCCAAGCTGAAGTGCAATGGCGCAATCTCAGCTCACTGCAACCTCTGCCTCCCTAGTTCAAGCAATTTTCCTGCCTCAGCCTCCCGATTAGCTGGGATTACAAGCATGGGTCACCACGCCTGGCTAATTTTTTGTATATTTAGTAGATATGGGGTTTAAACATGTTGGCCAGGCTGGTCTTGAACTCCTGACCTCGTGATCCACGCACCTCAGCCTCCCAAAGTGCTGGGTTTACAGGTGTGAGCCACCGTGCCCGGCCAGGCCCTGGCTTAATGAAATTGAACAAAATACCTAATTTCTAGAGTGTAAGAAGAGTTTAAAATGCTTTATGGATGTGTTGTTTTGACAGCAAAATATCTACTCAGAATCCTACAGCTATTTCAAAATCCAAGTAACTTAGTGAAAAAAGAATAAAAAAAAAAAACCTGTACTGTATAGTCAAACCCTTTGGTGATTTTCTATTCAATGGCTGAAAAATCCCAGTGATTATTGGGCTTTTTAACTGGAATTGAACTTGAATTGGGGCAGAGCAGCACAGTGCTTCAGAACTTCAGCGAGTCTGAGCCCTGGTTCTGCAATGACCTGCCAAATAGCTTTAGTCTTCTTGACTGCTCTGAAGCTTAATTTTTCACCTGTATAGGAATCATAGACTCTATGAGGCTGATGTAGGCATTACATGACATTTTATATTCTTATATAAAGTGCTTAGCACTGAATACTTGGTGACAACAGATACCCAGTGAGAGTTATCATAGATACTATTTCAGAATCATGTGAAGAGTCAGACCACATTTTTGATTTCTGTCAATAAACCGATATTCATATTCTGTTGATTTTTTAAATATATTTGTAAAATAGGGAAACAGAGCTGTATGGACTTCTAGCTATTTTTTTTTAGATGGAGTCTCACTCTGTCACCCAGGCCGGAGTGTAGTGGCACAATCTCAGCTCATTGCAACCTCTGCCTCCCGGTTTCAAGTGATTCTCCTGCCTCAGCCTCCTGAATAGCTGGGATTACAGGTGCACACCACCAGGCCTGGCTAACTTTTGTATTTTTAGTAGAGATTTTGCCATGTTAGCCAGGCTCATCTCGAACTCCTGACCTCAGGTGATCCGCCCACCCTGGTCTTCCACAGTGCTGGGACTACAGGTGTGAGCCACCATGCCCGGTCCCCCACTTGTTGATTTTACAGAAAAGATGGCTATGTTACAATCTGTCCTAAGGTTAGGTGTGAGTATTTCTGCTTCTTTCTTGGCTCCCCGAGACAGAGGGTCTTCCTGTGCCCAGGTGAGAGAGCACAGAGTGTTACTTTGGCAGCACAGTCAGTCACCGGAGGTGGGAAAAACAAAGGCCAGGCAGGACATGAGGGGCCTTTGCACTGGCTGGTTCTCCCTGCTCTTTACCGCCCTCCAGGTAAATGACTGGGTGAGTCACAATTGACTGAGGGGTAGTGAATAATTTGTGGACACTGCTGGACCTCAGTCTCCTCATCTGAAAGATGAGTGGTTGGAGAAGTTTAATGGTTTTCAAATGCTTTTTTTTTTCAGTCTCCAAATAAGAACTTACATAGACGCACCGTATCTGAAGCAGGTGACAGCGGACTAGTCTGAATGAAACAAGGGTTGGCAGGCCTAAGCTCCAAAACCTTCTGCTTCCCCAAGCTCTCCTTGTCTTCCCTGGCCTTGGATTATCTCCACAAAACTGGACTAGGTGGTCACAGAGGTCCCTGCAAGCTCAAAGACTCTCTCATTCCAGGATCCCCCATGTTCATATGCCAGCATGGCATGGGGGCGTTTTGTAGCCAAGCAGGGTCCTTTGGGGGGCTTAGGGATGGAGCCAGGAAATGGCTCTGGGACTCAGTGGGTGTCCAGAGTCTCATCAGCAGGGTTTCTTTACTTTCACTGGGCGACTGGTGCCTGCACACTGAGTTTTGCAGGCTTGCTCTCACAGAGCGAGCTTCTTGTAGGCCTCCCCACTGCAGCCCCCTTTCCTTCCTGGACCTGTGTGCTGACTCGTGGGTGAGCACCCAGCTTCTCTCACTGGCTGCTGACGGCCAGCTTTTTCTGCACCCTCGTGGTTGCCACAGTCAAAGCTGATAAAATCGCTGATGCAGATTGCCTGCCCAGCTGCGAGTGCTGGCATGGGGCCAGCAGCCCAGACGGTCATTGGAAGTGGTTGGGCTGGTTATTGGCATCATCTCCATTGTCCCACCCAGTTCTTAAAGGCATATGGGCTTGCCTCACTCCTGCAGCAGATGACGGCATGAGCAAAGAGGGGCAACAGACACCACCCTGAAGACACTCCTCATCTGGTTGACTTGGTGGGGTTAAGGGGAGAGAAGATGTGACAACCGGGGACTGAGAGCTCGATGGTTCTGCCAGAGCTGGAGTGTTTGTTGGCCTTGGGGGTGGGACCTCTCACATCTCTGTCAGCTTTTCACAGAAGCCAACCTGTTATGATCCATTTCACCTGTCCTGAGCACTAGCAAGAAAAATTCCCTGTAGCTTGTGATTTATTGTTTTGGATTTCCCAACTCATTCATTTGTTCATTCATTCACTATACCATTACTGTCTGTTATTTAGGGGGGCACAATGGTAGGTGCTGGGAATAAAAACAATGTTTCATGTTTCGTGAGGCTTCCCTGTCCTTAAGGAGTCTGCGTGTCTTTGTACCTCTCTGTCTGCTAGATTATTAAGCGACACTGTGAGAGGCTACTGAGAGCAGCACGTGGGACATGCAGAAGTACAAGAGGCAGGAGAGATGATTCATGTCGGAGGAGCAGGGGAGGACTCACAGAGAGGGTGATATTTGAGCTGAGTCATGAAGGCCAGTGGTATTTTTCCATGCAGAGAAGTGGGAGGAAAGGCATTCTGTGCGGAGGGCACACGGCGTGTGAAGGCAGAGAGGTGTGAGCAAGGGTGGCCTGCTCAGGGCCATGAGTAATGCAAGAGCATGGGGTGTGCAGGGTGAGTGGCCGAAGGTGGGGCTAGGAAGGTGACCGAGGTCATTGTGTGGAGGCTTTGTGCTGCTGCTTTGGAGTTGTGGAAGCCGACCTTGAGATCTGGGGAAGACGCTGATGGCAAGAGATGGCATCATCAGGTTGTGCTGCCCTCCCTGAAAGGTCCAGGCTCAACAGTTTAGGGTGAAGGAAACCATGAGGGTTAGAAAGAGAGGAAGATACCAGGGCATCTGCTGAAATAAAGCAAGTGTCAGGCTTGGAGTTGCATGAGGCATGTGCCCTGAGCCCATTGATGCAGCTTCCAGCTACTTTGGTGGCGAAGCGTAGGCTCATTTGGAGAGCACACCTTGCTCCGGCTCCTGCCCGCCCTGCTCACCTCCCAGGGCCCAGCTTCTCACCTGCTCGCCTTTGGTGTGGCTGGGGGAGGCATAGGCCTCCGAGTAGTGCTGCCGCTCAAATGGGCACTCGAGCGGCTCGAGGTGGTGCTGGCTGAAGGCGTCCGTGCGAAGGTGCTTTCGGGGTCCACTGCTGCTGCTCTGTGAGTCAATGCTCAGCCGGCAGCTATCCTGGTCACCTGGTACCCCCGGGGCAGGAAGAAAGCTTTTAGGGGACCTATCTACTCATCTCCTAGCCCAAAGCAGAGGACTGACTCCAAGCTGACCCACTGTGGAGGGAGAAAAAGGGCCAGCCACCTGGGCCCAGGAGCCTTGGCCAGCTGAGGGACAGAACAAGTGACAATCTCATGCAGAGCCGCTACAAAGTCCCATGCCATATGTGGAAGGGCTTCTGTCCCCCTCAAAGCCTGAGGAAACTGCCCTCGTGCACCCCCAACTGCCATCCTGTCCCCCAGCACTCACTGTCATCCATTTTCCTCTTGTCACCGCCAGGCTGAGCGATGCCCAGGAGCCCATTGATGGAGTAGGTGGAGCCCAGGGAATCCGACTGGGGTGACTCCGGGGGAGTTACAGCTGAGCTGGGGACTGCGGTGGGGGGAGAGGGAGAGGGTCAGGGGGTGGAAGTGACACCCCTCACAGCCCCTGCTGCCGCTGTGGAGGAGACAGCAAACCGAGCCATGGACTAAGTCCTGGAGGGGCTCAGGTCCTTCCTCCAGGGGGCCTGCTGGCGGGAGGGGTTCTTGGTGTCAGAGCTGTCTCAAGTGTTTGCACCTCTCCATAGTTCAGTGAATCTGCCCTGGGAACAGGCCAGGCTTTGTTGCAATGGCACAACTCAGGCACATGGGTTTGTGAGTAGTGCTGTGCACGGCTATGTCTGTGTGGGTGTGTCTGTGTGTGCTCTGTGTATATGTGGGTCCGCCAAAGGGGAGGTGTACAGGGGGATGTGTGTGTACCCAGGTCCCTCAGCACTCACTCAGCGTGTGTCCGGGGCTCAGGGACTTGGTGGCCACACAGCTATCCATAGGGAGGTTGAATGGTTGCTGCACTTTGGTCCGGATGATTCTGTGATGAAGAGAAGAAAGGCCGTGAGAGAGAAGAAGGGAAAAGAACTCATGGCTGCCCCAGACCCAGTTGCTTTTTGACACCTCTCTTGGGTATCTTAAAGACACCTGAAACTCAACTGTCCACCGTCAAGCCCGTGACCTTACTCTGTAAGCCTGTTCTCCCCAGTTGTCCGCATTTCATGATTGGTACCATCAGTCACTCGAGGCCAAAGTACAGATGGGGCTTAACATCTGCCTCCCTCCCTTTCCTATCAAACCCATCATTGAGTTCTGTGGTTTGACCTTGTGAACCTCACCAACGCTGACCCTCTCTGCCTCTCTCCATCAGCACCTTAGTGCATGCCATCACCAGCCTTCCAGGGTCACTCACTGGCCCACCCCCATCCCCTCTTGACCCTTTGTAAGTGATTCTCCCTACTGCAGTCAGAGTGGACTTTCTGAAATGCAGGTTGGCCACCTGCTTAAAATCGGCCAAGAGCTTCCCATTGCTTTATGACCAAAGGCAAGAAGTATAACACAGCCCCCAGCCTCTGAAAGGCCACCTCTGCTGACATCTTCAATTTCAGCCTGCCTCATGCTTCCCTGCTCTTTACTGGCTGTCTTTTCTATCCCTCCCTCCCTTCCTTCCTTCCTTCCTTCCTTCCTTCCCTCTCTCTTTCCTACCTTCCTTCCCTCTCTCTTTCCTACCTTCCTTCCTTCCTTCCTTTCTTCCTTTCTTCTTTCCCTCTCCCTCCCTCCCTCCCTCCTTCCTTCCTTCCTTCCTTTCTTTCTTTCTTTCTTTCTTTCTTTCTTTCTTTCTTTCTTTCTTTCTTTCTTTCTTTCTTT